GTTTCTAATGTCTCTGTAAAGCACTTTGAATCACCTTGTTGTTGAATTGTGCTATACAAATAAATTTGCCTTGCCTATACTGTGGGGGTTGCTTCAGTATATGGGGTATCTGGCCACACACAGGCCATTAGTCCCTACACAACTGTAGCGAGACTTGGTTTGTGTCCCCAGCAGTAAGTCAAACTCATTACTGGTACGTGTTGGGCTCCTCCAAGCCTGCCCTTTGTCACCAGTTCTGTTCATAGTTTTTATGGATAGAATATCTGGGTGTAGTCGAGTGGTGGAGGGTCTCCACTCAGGATTTCATTTTGGTTTTTTCCCTTTCATTTTTTTGCAGATGATATGGTTGCGTTAGCTTCATCAGGTGGTGACCTCCTCCCTGCACTGGAGAAGTGTCCGGCTGAGGGTGAGGCAGCAGGAATGGGAATTAGTACCTCCAAGTCCATAGTTTCTCAGCTGTAACAGGGTGGAGTGCTCACTCTGGGTGAGGAACAAGTTACTGCCCAAGTGGAGTACAAATATCTCAGGGGCAATGTTCCCTCTAATGTTTCATGTGTCTGAGCAAACACACAAACTCCCTGAGCGTCCCTTGGACCACTGTGAGCGACAGCAGACGTGTGCACTGTGGTCACGCCACCATCCAATCCATCCAAGTTACGGTTTATTAAAATAATCAAATTACAGCATTTACATTTATGTTAACTGGCTGTTCCCTCTAAGCTGCGTGCGCAATTGTGCACTGCTGGCACGTCTCTGCGCACAGAAAATCTGCGTTGCGCACAAAAAAAAAACCTAACCTGAATTGAAATTAAAATGAATATTTTAACAATCCTGTTCTGCAGTGTGAGTCAGTGACTGGCTGCTCCTGTATGGGATCAGAACGATGCCACCTTATCCCATAGTGCAGCCAATGATGTGATTCACATTCGTATATACGCAGCTGATCAACGTCGCTGACCGGCTATGACAGCGTCCTTATGTGCCGACACCTGTGTTTTAGCAAAGCGGCTGATGTGGAGTGAGCCACGTTAATGACAACGTGTACAACCACTGGAGATGTGAGCAGGACAGACGGAACAACTGACGGACAAAGTGTGGACTTTATACCAGTTTTTAAATTGTGTTGATCGGCCACGTAAAACCAGAGTTATGATAAAATATCTGCAATGTTTGTTTTTCTTCCTGAATACTGTCGTTGTTCATATTTACTGCGGGAAGAAACAGTAAAAACGGCGTTTTATAAGGAAAACGCTCGAAAGCCTGTGAGCAAAAACAAAAACAACCTTTCCTATTGGTGGAAAAATGTAACATGTCGACCAATCAAAACATGGCATTTAGATGTTTAGGAAGGGAGAAGTTTTAGGAGTGACGGCGTGTTTGAGATGTGAGAGATTTGAGATGTTTAGCACAAATCTTGTGTAGT